CATTCTTGCTCACTTTTGGGCATTTCTCTCGCAATTGCACCAGTGTGACGTCTCACAAAAGTTATTCTCAAAAATCCTCTCTGATAGGCGCAATCTTGTATTCTATCATTCTTGGTTCTCGACTGCCTTTGAAGTTGTGTTGATTCGCACTTTCACAATGTGATTGTGAAGTTCAAAAAATAAGTAACATGTACACGCGCGGGAAGCTGCTGCGCGGGTTACAAGAACAGCCCAGTCAGAAAAAACTCCGAAAATTATTCGGACAACGGAAAGAAAAGTGAATGAAATGGGGATATTTGTCCGTTTAACGATTTCATTTTCGGACACCTTGACGATTCGTTTCCCACTAAAGTTTGCGGCAGAAACCTAGGTCTAGAAAAGTACCGAAAATGGTTGTGCAAAGGATACGTTTTCGGCTGTTTTTCTGAAAATTTTCTCATTAAATTTTTCATTGACAAAACGTACTAGTGAGCTACGCTTAAGAGCCAAACACACGACAAAAGCGTCTTGACAAACAAAGCGAATAATCCTTTGCCTCAAGCCATTTATGTTGTCTATGGGGTTTGGCAAGCCGCTTGAGGGAAATTTGAACAAAAATCTTATTTTTTTGATTTTCTGGGCGCCATGTTGGAAGCATGGGCGTAGCCAGGTATGGGCAGGGGGGGGGTCCCCCCCCCCCCCCCCCCCCCCTAACTTTCAAATTTTCCTTATATATATGTATATATAAAAAGTACCATGAAATGCCTGCTTAATTGATTTCTCACTTCTTAAAAATTACATAAAAAATTCACCTGTTTTAAATATTTTTTTTTGAATTAAAACATCTTTAACTCAAAAGTTATGCAAAAATTTTATTAAGCATTTTTTTGAGGCTTCACGTATACGTCTATGAATTATATCCATAAACTACCAGCTTGATATATGTATGTATGTAGTTTACAACAATAAAAATAAAAGCTAAATAACACAAAGGTTACCTGTTTTTTAAATTTGCCCATTTACTAGGAAGTTTGTGAAATTTGATCTACATACATATGTATATGTCGAGCTCCCAAAAAGTTACTTCTGTTTATAATCCAAATACCTCTAAATTCATGGATTAAATTAATGTTTTTTTTTTTGCCTTCTTTTATTTTAATAACTGTAGAACATTTAAATGAAGCTGCGTCTCTTTCTTCTGGTCGTGGTAGTATACTGTATAGTTCATCGAGCTCGTTGTCAAGCGGTGGTAGCAATGGCAGCACTACTATGTCTTCACCAGTTGGTGCTAGTGTAAGTATTTAACAAAAACTAAAAAACTAAAAAACTTGATATAACCTTTCGTGCTTTTGTTACAAATAAATATAGATGTCATTGCCCACTGCTCTATCACCTGTGATATCTAAAACATATATAAATTGCAACATTGCAAGCAGTGCAAACGGAAATAATAGCCCCTCCAATGCCAGCGTTACATCTAAGGCCCCTGGCGTATTTGACCATAATCAGCAACACCAAATTAAATCACCAACTTCGGTGCCTGGCAATACTAGTCCTTCGGGTGTGCTATCCGCCAATACAACTGTTGCTTTGGCAAATGGAGCAATTGTCAATGTGAGCAATGCAGCGCTGTCTTTAACGGCAAAGAACATTTCGGCCATGTCTCTGACACGTGACTCTCCAACACCATCAACGCCATCTCCATCACCGTCATCTTCGAGTTGCGTTTCGTCGTCCTCATCGTTGATATCATCGTCACCGCCACGCACATTAAGTGGCATAATTAGTGGACGAAATGTGACTGTCAGTATTCCAAATAACTTAAAATTCGCTAGTAGCACTGGACTCGCTACGAGCCGAGTAACAGCGACAAGTGGCGGTGTAACAACTGGGAAAGGAACGTCGTCGGCAGCCGCCGCTATTATAGCGACATCTCCGCCTAGCAACAACGGCGTTACTTCTAATAATAATGGTAAATAATAATTAATTCAAATTTATTGCTAGCACAATAACTATAAATAAAAAGGTTCGGGGTATCTTAAGAACACATATGTATGCATGTATGTGTGTATGTACAGCGTGGCGACGAATAACTGTTACCCAGTTTTTTTTGAGAAATAAAAGGGTCCTTTATAAATTTTGCGAAAAAAGTATTTTATTGTTAATTTTCCACAGATTTTACTTTAGTTGTATTAGTTAGTTTTTAAATTTTAATCCTTATCTACATTTGCCAGCAGTGTAAACTTTGAGAGAAAAGTTCATTTGGCACGCAAGTCTTTTTCAGGTGTATTTTTTCTTAGGCTTTGTATAAAAAAAGTACAAAAAAGAAAAAAACTGTATAAGGTTGGTCGAATGAATGGCCGTCCTAGTCACCAGTCCCGAGTCTATTAGATTTTTTGAGTATGAGGCCTTATTTTGGACAGAAGGGGGAGTATAAGGGACTCAAAATGGAGAAAATTAGCCTATGGTTACAGAAGATATGGAACAAATTAACTGACGAGGACCTGCGTGCCAAATGAACTTTTCTCTCAAAGTTTACACTGCTGGCAAATGTAAATAAGGATTAAAATTTAAAAACTAATTAATACAACTAAAGTAAAATCTGTGGAAAATTATCAATAACATACTTTTATCGCAAAATCTATAAAGGACTCTTCTATTTCTCAAAAAAACCTGGGT